ACCCTAAACCCTAAAAGCCCTAATACTTCAGGTAAACCCTCAACGCAAATTCGCGTCCCTGGCGTTGAAGCTTCTCGAGCTAGGCCGGCCCAAAGGCCCTCGGAAGCCTCTCCGCGCCAAGGCAACGGCTACCATCTTCCCTTCGTACAAGAAACCCCCAAATCCTATAGTCTATGAGTAGCTATTGTATAATATAACCCCAAAACTAGCATAATATAACCCCAAAACCCTATTCTAGTAGTAACTATAGTAGAATATACCCCCAAAACCCTGTTCTAATGATTAAGGCCCCATATCTTTCCAGTCTAGGCTTCTTCAGGCTCCCGTCCGCAGCAAGTTAGAGCTGTTGGGCTGCGACTTGGAGTTTAGAGTTTAGAGTCAAAGTTTAGGGTTTAGGGTTTAGGGTTGGGGTTTTAAGGTTTGTGGAATTAAATCTTAAGCCCTAAACCCTGAACCCTAAACCCTAAAATCTTTTTTGACCTTGACAGCTCTTAGCTCTCAATATCTCTCAGTCTCTGGGTCTCTCTCTTCTCAGTCCAAGTCCTCGGGTCGCTCTCAGCATCCTTCTCCGAGGTTTAGGGTTTAGGGGGTTTAGGGGGTTTTGGGTTTAGGGTTGAGGGTTTTTAGGGGGTTTAAGGGTTTAGGGCTTAGGAGCGTTTAGGGGGTTTAGGGGGTTTCTGGTTGAGAGTTTAGTTTTAAGGGTTTAAGGGCGGCAAGCAACTGTTCAGGGACCTCCCCCCTTCGTTCAAAAGCTCACAGGCCCTCGCGTTGTACAGCTCTCTTTCGATAACCGTTGTTGTTATGATTGTTTCCGTTCTGATAAGTATCATTCGTATTGTCATTATTGCTGCTATGATTACAAGTTTCATGATTACTAGTCTTGTTATGCCCAGAAACTCCAATATCCCTTAATTAAGGAATATACCTTGAATTATAATCGGATCCCTAATATGATTTAAGGTATATTCCTTAACTAAGGTAACTAAGGGATGTTGGAGTCTCTGGGTGATTATCGACATGTTTCCGAAGGCGCTTCGATGCATTTCACACAATCTTCTGTGTTCGAAGCGGAGTCCTGATGCTCGTAAGGAAAGCCGACATCGGGAACTTATGGGAATTAAAATCCACAGCCCATGGGGAGTTTTCTAAATTAGGGTCCCTTTGGGGGTCCTTTTTATAAGGGTGCCTCACTAGATTAGGGATCCAAAAGGGACCCTAATTTAGAGAACTACCCATATGACAAAAACTGATGTTGTGACAACCATGTAGAAGTATAGCTGCGGCAGCAACATGAGAATGGCCATAGCGGCGAGAGACTATCCAACTCGACAACGACAGAAGCGTTTGAGGTACTCGCGGCCCCAATCAGAACTAGGAGCATGACCGACCATGAGAATTGGGATGCCTCCGACCGCAACACCCCAGTTACTAAGCCAAAAAGCTTCTTATGAAACTGCGCATACCCTTAGCCCTAACCGCCCTAACCGCCGTAACCGCCCTAACCCGTAAACCCTAAACCCTAAACCCTAAACCCTAAACCCTAAACCCTAAACCCTAAACCCTAAACCCAAACCCCTAAACCCTAAACCCTAAAGCTGCAATGCATAGATGGCATGCTGCGCAGGCAAGTGACGAGGTTTCGAGTTCCGAGTCGCCAAACGAGGCCGGAAACTGCGCCAAATAGTCTGGAGGCCTAAATAATTACCTATATATATACCTATATATATATGGGTGGTTGTCAAAATTATGGTCCCGTTTGGGGTCCTTATTATAATACGGCACCTATTATTTAGGGTACCCCAAAAGGGACCATAATTTTGACAACTACCCATATATATATATATATATACATACTATTTTGGGGGGGGTCCTTGTTGTTTAGGGCTTAAAGGGTTTAGGGGTTTATGGGTTTAGGGGTGTAGGGGTTTAGGGGTTTAGGGTTGTGAAGCTGAATGAATCTGATCCTGGCCCTTGAACCCCAAAATGTTGGGTTTCATATCAAGAACTTGAAGAAGGACACAGGGTTTCTGAATCAGGTTCCCATGTTGCTTGTATTACCTCTCTTCTAGTGTAGTATAGAGGAGTAGCACTATCGTAAGAATCTAGTCCAGTCTAGTCGACAAGTCTAGTCGGGTAGAGTTTGGCACAGTACAGTATCGTGTAGTATACGTTTTAGTTCAGTCAGTAAAGTATAGCCTAGTACAGTGTAGTGTAACCTAGTGCAGTCTGGTTTAACTTAGTTTCGTCAGTCTAGTCTAGCTCTGATCCAGCGTAGCCTGCCGTAGCTGTCTTCGCCAAGCCTTGCAGCAGAAGCCCAGAGCATCGAGTTATGCCAGGATGTTGACATCGCGCTGGTGTGACCAATTCTGACGGCTGCAGCAGGCCAGCCCATCGAAATCCATCCGCTGCACCTGCTATGCCTACTCGGTCTTCGGAACGCATCAAAAAGCTTGCAATAGCAACCGCTACATTATGTGTGTGTATATATGTATGTATACATGTAAGTATAGATACCTATACGTTTTTCACACATCCCCACATGTTACATGCATACATACATCTCTACATATACACACACAAAACGGAATTTGCACAGTTCGGGCCAGGAGACTCTGCAGCCCCTCCGCCAAGAAGCGGCCAGATCGCTGCCGTGCGCTGGACGGATGCGCGGAAAAGAACTGTTGCTTCGATCGACACGGCAGAGGTTTCACTTGCACAGACTCGCGAAGTCGCACCGAGAGCCACGCTTGCGTTTGATCGTATCGTTGCGTCAGTCTTGGAATTCCTGAATCGCCTGCAGTTTGATTCTCTTCGGTGTCTTTGCTCGAAGGGTCTCCAGGACTGAGGATCAGCCCCGTGACCTTGCACACTTGGAGCTAGCAAGAACTCCAGCTGAGAGGATGGTGTCCCGGGCCCTTCTTGTTGCTCTCCTGCTGCCAGTCTGCTCTGCTATCACTTGGGCGACCAGGACGTTGATTGGCAGTCTTTTGCTCTGAGATGTCTTCCTGAGCCTTTCTTCCGCATGCGTGTGGGATGAGTTTCTCCCCTTGCCGTATGAGGTGAAGAGTGCTGCTGGGGCAAGCTGCGACCAGGCTTGTGCCGCCCGCTCTGGGTGCAACGACGACGCGTGGCCGTCTTCCGAGGAGGAATTCCATGACGCAGCGAAGCTTGCAGGCCGGTCTTGAGAAGCAACATCTGGTAAGGTGTAGGCATGTGAGCTGGGTCCTGACAGAGTTCCAGGTCAAGTCTGCGAGGGCACGCAGACTGGCGGGGCCAAGTATGATCCCAGCACGGATGGCCGATACTGCGGTTGGCAAGGGCCAGAACACATGAACGGAGAGAGCAGGTGTTCCCAATCCGGTGACTCCGGCACATACCGCTTCTGTCCGTGCAACGCAGATAAGGAGCTGTAGGTAGGCTGCCCAGCGCCAGAAGCCGTTGGGAAGATGCTCCGGCAATTCGCTGCATGCTCTGATAGTGCTGTGGGAGTCCCGCTAGAAGGACTGCACAGGCCAATCAGAGGTTCTCATAACCAGAGAGCCCATGCAAAGACTGCCTATTCGGCATGCAGCCTCCCCGCATGATGGAAAACGTGCTGCACCTTTCAAGGGACCTGTTTCGAGCCTGTGTGGTGAGGGCGAACAGGAGAACCATGTGTACTTGAAGTATACATGCAGCTGCTTTGTTCAAGGGGGGCTCGCCACTAGCTTGGAAGCACCACGAGTGGTGCTTCGGAACGGGCTAGCGAGGCGAATTAGGTTCTAACATGCCTAGGTCGGTCGCAAAAAGCTTGGATATAAACTTCCAGAAATTGCGATGATCCGACATACTAATGGTGTTTGCCTAGCTCTGCACTGTATGTCGTAGCGCGAGTAACCGGTGAGATTCACACTTTTCTTCTGACATCATCCGGAATCTGGGTTCTTGGTCAGGGACCTCTGCTAAGGTAGCCTAGCAGGAGATGCATATGGTTACTTTCTTTACACCAGAATATGTATATATATATATATATGTTCCTATCTATCTATCTATCTATCTGTCTATCTATCTATCTATCTATCTATCTATCTCAGCAACTAATCAGCAAGGTCCCGTAACAAGATCCCAGGAATCTTTCCAGCCATGGTCCTCAACGAAAACGAGCCCGTCACCGTGCACTTCGCGTCAGATTTCGTATCGCTGGACCAGGAGAGCTGCCGTACCTGCTTGCGTGTGCAGGATTTAGGGTTTAGGGTTTAGGGTTTAGGGTTTAGGATTTAGGATTTAGGGTTTCGGGTTTAGGGTTTAGAGGTTTAGGGTTTATGAATTAATGTTCTTTAGGATTTCTTCCGGTAATCTGCACCAAATCGCTGTTGCAGCTTGTTAAGACCACTATATTGCATGGCCGTTTAAAGGGTCTAAGAAATCCAGCTCTAAACGGCAGCATGATCTATTTGTAGGGTAAGGAAGTTCATTTCAGGTCTGGAGTTATATGACCACACCGGTCACAGCCCAGCAAAGTTCCCCATGCCACGCTGATGAATTGAGTCCATGCTGCTTGAATCTCTGGGTGTTGCGTCCGGCCCAACCTGAATTCCAAGCCTTGAAATGTCGAAACCTTAATTTCGTTAATTGTGTCTCTGTGCTGTGCTTACCAGGCAGTGTCTGATCTTCAAGCACCCAAGCCCGAGCCGGGACCTTACTGGGTAGGTGGTTCGAAAGACGTCGTGTACGGTTCGGTCTTGCGTTTTTCGAGTATGTACCTATCTTAGTCATCTTCGTCGTCTTCTGGTTCAGTTCAACCTGATGCCGTCGACTCGGTCGACTGTATGATTTCGCGGTTCTGTCCTTTAGGCCTCGCTAGGTTACACATATCACCGTAGAACCACCGCTACAGATGGGACCCTGCTCGGGGAGATGCCCCAAACCTGTAAGGTCTGCGCCTGGCTCATTGATAACATATGGGTAGTTCTCTAAATTAGGGTCGTTTTTGGGGGTCCATTTTATAAGGGTGCCGTACTATATTGGGGACCTAAAAATCTCCTAGTTTAGAGAACTCCCCATATTCCTCCCTTGTCCAGTGTCGCCTCTATCAGACCCTATTCTGGTAGTCCAGGGCCTATAGGCGTACCGGACGCTGCATAGCAATGACAACACGGCGGCTGTGGCTGACTGCAGGTGTTGAAGACGCTGCAAAGAATCCAGCGGTCTGATGCGCTCAATGCTGACCTTGCCTGGCCTTGCCATCGCTATCAGCAACAATCGTCCAATGGCGGCACCATCAAATCACATCACACCAGCAGCGGTAGCATCGTCATCATCATCATTATCATCATCATCATCATCATCATCATCATCGTCATCGTCAGCGTCATCGTCATCGTCATCGTCATCGTCATCGTCATCATGATAATCATCACCGTAGCACATCCTCATGGTCCCATCATCGTCCTCGTCAGCTGTTGCGGCAGCAACAGCACCGGTACCCTCATCTATCTCTTCATCGTCGTCGTCTTCTGCTACGGACCCTGCGCACTCAGAACAAAAACAAGGTCCATCCCTTCGCTCTGGGCCTTGAGCTCGCGGCTCCAGGTTTGGGGCTCATGGGGTGTGTGTATACACATGTATTTATCTCTTTCTCTCTCTCTCTCTATATATATATATGTATAAAGATGTGTGTGTATATATATATATATGTATGTATGTCTGTATGTGTGTGTATATATATATATATATATGTATAGGCTAGGAGTGCAGCCCAGGACCCGCTGGTGTCTCCTGGAGCTGCCGCCGGATCAGCTCAAGACTTTGGAGGCCGCTTTGGACTTCGCGAAAGCCTCGAGAGACTGGAGAAGTCATATATATATACACATTACTATAAGATCCTATAACATACTAAACCATAGTATACAAGGACATTAATGAAGGTATGTGTTTTTAGGCTATGGGCGAGTCGACTTTTGGGTCAGGGGTAGCCTGAGTCAGGTTGCGAAAGCTTTCGGTGGGAATCACAATTCAGGGCCTTTCAGGGTCTGGGGTTTAGGATTTTATCTACCCCTCAATCTCACTAGGTGATGCGTTCGGGCATACTCGGGTCATGTTTTCAGAGGCCGCCACGACCGCTAGGACCTGTGAGAGATGACACAACCCTAAACCCTAAACCCTCAACCCTAAACCCGCGACGACTGCGCACATTCCCGGAGCGACTCAGAACGAACGCGGCGCTGTGGCAACGCAAAGACAGTGTGACACCTGCTGACCTCTGAAGCTTTGATACAGTATGGTAAACACAGCCTCAGCCTAACCCACCTCCAGCTGCAGCTTCAATCCAAACTTAATCTCTTTCTTCTTATATCTTATATCTCCAAATTCCCATACCCCTACAGCCTACGGTGTCAAAGAAGCCGGAAGCGCAAAGCCCTAAGGTTCAATACTTAAACCCCGAAATGCGAGGAGGGGCAAAGCTTCCATTTTCGCGAACTGAGTGGCGGAGCGCCTGCCCAAGTAGGGTTTAGGGTGTAGGGCCCAAGTAAGGTAAATGTCAACATTCTTCAGATTCCGGACTCATGAACAAGTTTACTGATGTCGCGGCTCTTATTTTTAGGGATTGTTGTTATTTCCTCATCAGTGCGGATAGTCTTGTCGTGAATGTTCGCATTAACAGAAGATACCATATACACAACATCTACCGAGGACTGGGTAAATGGGCGCTGTTGAAGAGGATCCTATTTTCTCAGCATGCTTGAACAGGGGGGTCATGTCCCGACTTTCATATGCCGAAGGGAACTGGAGACGAGGCTTTCATAATCTCGGTTCAGGCTTTGGCGTGTATTCGGCAAGAGTCACCATTCCTTTAGCCTTTTGAAGTCTCGTCTACGTTGGATGTCCTGATGTCAACCTGTTTGAACGACCCTGCAGCCCTTTGGTGGTTCAAAGACACTCGCTTCGCCTACTTATTCGTCTTGACTCACATCGCAATGGACCGGGCCTTAGCACTTGTGGGTGCAGGGACCGAAGCAGATAGGACGTGGTTTCGTGGCAGCTGGTTGATTTTTTGGTGCCGGCGCAATTTCTGCTGTGGGCAAGCCGTCTGATCATTTGTGCCTCACTCATATCTAAAAGGAAGCCTCCATCCGTGTTGTTCGACACCAAGTGTTTGTTCCCGAGGCGAAGATGCTCACGGTGCCTTGCTTTCTTTGGATTTGCGGTCGAGGTAGATGGGTTAGGGCCTGGGTTTAGGGTTCACGAACAACTTGTTCAAGTCACTGTAGCGAGCCTGTCGTCGCGTGCGAGGATCTGAACGTGGGACACGCGCGAGTTTGCAAATGGAATCGTTCATCCTTGTTTTGACCCGTAGAGTGACCTGACACTAAATGCACAAGTAGACCTGGCAAGGCCCCTGATAGTAATTTTACATGGATAGCCACCCGACAACCGTCACGGTTTTAGTCTCTCGAACCCAAGACCCTACATGTTGCGGGCATACCTCTGTGCATAAGTCGAAGTTATCTCCGCAGAACATCTCGCAGAACGGATATTCAGAGGTCGGATAGTGGGTCGCTCGCTTATCAAAGTCTCCCCACCTGACCCCTAAACCCCTAAACCC